AAGCTCTCAGCTCCGGCTGTTAAAATGCTAGGCTGCTCTTAGGTCCTAGCACTTATATCATATAAAATGCATTTTATAAACCTATTTTGTGTTTGTTTACTTAAATGCAAGAGCTAATTGAAACGACGTGTTTTATGTTCTAGTTTCATGAAAATCTTACGATTAAAGCAGTGTAAACATGTTAATTTTATTGAATGTCCCCAAATTGGAGCATAATTGGGGGGCAATGGATGGTTGACCAAAAAACAATAGTCTAATTTTGTTGCAGTTTCTATGCAGATATTGAACCAGACCAGAACCACATGGAGAAACCGCTGCAAGTCTATCTGTGTTAAGATGTATGTAAAAAAAAAACAAAACAAAAAAAAAAAACTGTTAAGTTCGACATCATTTTTGGTCGAAACCGTAAGAGCCAATGTAGAGGCAAAAGGAGCCACAGGTTGCAGTTAAAAGGAAAGTTAGCAAGGAAAAAAGTGTTGCTTAACAACAAACAAAGCATTAGCAATAAGAAAACACAAGGCTCAAGGTGGTACTAAATTAAGGACCATAACAAAAGATTCCTTTAAGGGAGCCAATCCAAGGACCACAAAGTTATACTGTGCAGCATCTCCGCAATGTGCTATCAATTTATCCAGCGTTTTAGAGAATTCTCAAAATTTTCATCTTTAAGTTTAATCCACTTTTGTCAGTAAATAAACAAACGAAAGCCTCCGACCAAACCTTTTTTATTTTTAAAAGTTGAAAATAATGTTAGTCTGTTTACATTGCTTCCTGTTGCCCTCATGGTGATCACTGACTGGAAGTCATGGGTTGTTTTGCGTGATGGTTCATTACCCTCGCTCTGAGGGCAAAATAGATTACAGCTTTAATAGCAGACGTCAAGTGGACTGACTGGAGTTTAACACAGAACACTGACAAAGGAAAGAATGAGATAATATGAACATGAAACACGTTTCACTGAGGGCGCTAAGCAGAGAGAAAGCAAAGCGAAGGCAAGTCAGATGCACTTTAACGAGACTAAAAAGGACAAAAGAGAGCTAGTAGCTCAGCAGACAGCTTTGCAGTGCTGTGAGGCACATTAAACTTATATTCTTGCCCCCCACAGCAGTGCATCAGTCACGGTTCACATATCAGAGCCTACCCACTGTGATATACGCAGAAAGATAATTTAGCTAGTTTGCAAGCTCAAAAACTCAGCTCTGAAATTATCCTCCTATATCTTCTCTATGTCCTGCTTTTCCGCATTTGACACTGGTTTTGTCGTACTGTTGCCTGCTCTACATTAGTTTTACATGTTTTTGTTTTGAAAATTGAAATACAAGAGCTAACGGATAATTGTTTCTTACTTTTTTTTTTTTATAAACATTTTACAATATTGCATTGTATGAAGGAGAAACGGCATGTTGTTCAGGAGTTTGCAAAACTCATTTTACGTATTTTTCAAATTAGATTAACTTAACTTTTTGTTAATTACGTCAAATACAATAGCTATTCACTTTCTGGAGAGTAATTACAAGTGGACAATTGGTTGGAGGTTGGGTGTTAGACTCTTGTTTTTATTTTTTTATGATTTTCAGTTTGCAAGGTAACTGTGGTCTTGTACAAAGAATAGATATCTTGCAAGCGTAAAATTGTAAGTCCTATTCCAGCCTTTTCATGTCTCATGCTTATGGGCAAAGCACTTAACCTCAAGTTGCTTACAAATCTGTACATCGGTATGTGAACGTCCGTCCGTCTGTCCGTCCGTCCATCCATTTTCTTTACACGCTTGTCCCTTGGTGGGGTCGGGAGGGACTTGCTGAATTCAAAAGTGTAAAGTGTAATGGGCTTTTACAGGTCTGTATGACTAGAAAAGCACTATACGAATTCAGTCTTTTCACCATTTACCAATTTGGAAATCTTTTTAACACATTCCTTTTAAAGTTAGTTTCATATTGCACAATGGAGTTTTGTGCTTGTTAAGGTAGAACAACATTATCAAACACAACACACTTGAGTACATCAAACTGGACATTATAGTGTTTTCTTTTTTGTTATGAGAAAATGTTTTCAGCCTAGAAATGTGAGACTATATTTTACTTTGCTTGTGTAGGATAATTAATAGTGATTCCAATCATCATGCACTGAAAAGGTTCACATTAGACCTCACGGTGTTTATTGTACCTGTAAATATATTTTAAAAGAGAAAAGAGTGGAGTTAAAAAAATCCACTGAGATTTAATTTACCATGTTCATATTTTAGCTTATGTTCTTTCAAGGTTAGTTGTGGCAGAGTACTTGATTTCATATGTTGTTCAAGTTTATGTCCACCAATGTTCTATATCTGGACTACCACGAGCCCCGGAGGTGAAAAGAGGAAGCGCTGGATTTATCTCTTTGTTTTCTGCTCTTTCATGGAAGGCCAGTAAATGGAACAGATCTCTTGATATGACCGCATTCAGACACCTTGCAGATGTTTGATGTTATCACATAGCATCTTTATGAATAATAATACCGATTAGATGTGCTGTGTTGTTTGCTGAGTACTTATATGTGCACTAGACTCCTGAACTAATAGATGCTTGTATTCATGCTCTAGGCATGCAGGGTACTGGTGTTGATTTCTGACAACATATGTGCTTGCCCTGCAGGTTCAGGGATTAGTGGCTCTTTGGCTAGCAGCTTATCCCACTTAAAGCAGCGTAGAGGGGGCGTCAGGTGTTTGCACAGGGTGTCTGAGTGTTTGCGTGTGTGAGGAAGCTTCTGAACAGAGTTGCTGATTTGTCGTGCATTGTTGTCATGAACTGCACTGTCAGTATGAAAACATGTTTGACTTGCTTTCTTGGGTGGTTGTTACAGAAAGAGTTGCAAATCCTGTTGGTTTCAAAATGACAATGAAACATTTTACGTCTACTGGAACAGGAACCTCGGGGCTGTTGAACTTCTGAAGTACTGGAAGCTGCGTGTAGCGCTACTGTAAACTGTAGAACACGTTTCGGATGTAGCACTGTGGTGGATGTTGATGTAAGTTTGTCATGTAAGAAAACTAGTTTTTCAGGTGGGTAATATTTATGGAAAAAAGATTACATCGTCATTGTTGGCTCATTTCCTTAGAAGTTGTTGTTTTTGCTTGCTTTCTTTTTCTTTCAAATTCTAAAAAAACATAAACATCCCACCAAAAGAGATAATGTCATATATATATATATATATATATATATATATATATATATATATATATATATTAGACAATCCTGACAGTGAATAATGCATCCAAGAGCACAAGACAACACTAAATGCCTGCAGACTTCTCACAGTCATGCTTTATGCTGTGCAGTTTTTGAAACACTGGTTGGATTTGTTGCTCTTTGCAGTTTGTCCTGTCAGCTCTGTGCTGGAACAAGACTGTAAATCCTGCATCATCAGCACCCTCCTGCTTATGCAGTCTCACAAGAAAACTAATTTTCTGACTTCCTCACATACAGGCACATGCTGCAGAAACAAAGGCAACATTGTTGTGTTGATGGTCAACTGTTTTCACAGAGCTGTTAAACAGAGTCATTCTGTAATAACGTCTGAATGGAGCTGTCATTTTCGGTTTCAACAGGCCTGATATTATGGAGGCATTTATTATAATAAATGATTGAATTACGAGGCTTGTCTTAAATGCATACGCTTGTCTGTGCAGCTAATGTTTGTGTGTTTGACTGACAAATCTTGACTGTAGCACAATATTGTAATTCTATAAAGTGTGTTTTATTTGGAGCATCATCCATCGTAATGGAGTGAAAGTTGCTGGTAATTCAGATGAACATTAGTCCGCTATGTAGGGGGTTTGTTCTCTCAAGGCATCCACAGATTACATCACCGCCCTTCCCCTCGATTTGCACGCAGTTGCCTATTTGTTAGTAAGTTGGCTTGACAGCATGACAGAGGGATGAGCGCCTTGAAGGAGTGATGACTGAAAAGGCATGAGTGGCAGGCAGTGAGGGGATGGCAGAAAAAAAACAGTGTGGCAGAAGTTGGAGGGGAAACCAAATGCAGCGATAACAGGTGGAGAATATCTCCTACATTAATAAATCTTTGGATAACTGATGATTTTGCTGCAGGTGTTATGTGGATTCTATGTTTTCATGCAGTATTTGTATTTAATAAAATATTCAGTGTTTAAAGAATCAGCATGGAGGTGTTTGATCAAATATAAGGGAAATTTGTAAAGAATGAATTAATGAACTCTACTGACCTCTGTTGGTAAGTCATTAAAATTACACCATCATGAAAATTTGATTTTAACAGTTTCTGGTCATTCGGGTGGAAATTGAGGATGAGGGTAAGAGATCAATCTAATGGTTCATTAATAGGTGTCTTCTGCAACTGAAGTTATTCAACAATCAGAGTAGTGATTGAAACTGACAAATTTTCTCTCGACTAGCTGAAAGAGGCAAACAGCAGGTCAATTATTGCTTCTTTACTCATTTTTCACTGGTAAATAAATGCAGTAAAAGTGAAAACTCCTGCTCTTTTCAGTCTGCAAACACATCAACTTGTGGCACATTTTTGTCTTTATGATACATTTTTATTATATTTAATTATTGAAATGACATGGGGATTCTACAAATCTTTTATATTCCATAATTTAAAAAATCTGAATCAACAGGTCAGGCAAAGGAAAGCAGAAATCAGTACCAGCTGGTAAAGCCTGATCAGCTCATCTATAACTGATAGATTTTGGATCCAGGTTATTTGCACACTCAGGTGCCCGTAGTGAGAATGCAGCACTTACTCTATTCTCAAAGATTAGCTTGCCAAAACCCACAGAAAGTTGGGCTAAATAAATTCTTTATTGCATTGCTTTATAGCTTGTTGAAACTTTTACATCTCCAGTGCTGCCTTTTTATCTTGCTACATTTATCCTGAAGGTTATGTATTAATATAATTATTTTTTCATTTGAATATGCTCTGCTTTTCAATAAAACATAAAGTCAGATGTTAAGTTCCTTTCCTTTGTTCTCTATTTACACCAGAGTATTTTAGGTCTGATGCTTCCTGCCCTCACAATGGAAACGGAGGCCAGTCACATGCTGGAAGCTGCGTTGGAGCAGATGGACGACATCATTGCAGGTAAGAAGCGGAGAGAGGTTGTCTGTGTGATGTGGAAGATTAAAGTGGTTAAATGTAGTCTGTGTTTAGAAAAAATGTCGGTGTAGTGATGGAGACCGCTGTTGGAGTTGAGAGGAACATCTTGAACCAGATTTTGCACATTTATACACAACAAATTAGCATTTTTTAAGCTAAAACATAAATATATGTCTCAATATGTTTGAACTGCTGTGTTCACATTTACGTTACGTTTTCCAGATTACACATCTACAATAATGTCATGATGATTGAGGTGGACCAAAATGCATGCTCAATCTTTCTGTCAATTTGAAAGCGCATATTTTCAGTCCGAAAGCAAGATTTCTTGTTTTTTGCTCTCAAAACTTGAAATCCTTTTACTCAAAACTTCTCCTTGCTTTCACTGTGCTTTCGCAAACCTTTCTCCTCGCACTCAAAACTTGTCTCTGCTTGGATCAAATCTCCACTTGCAAACCTCTCTGCTTGCTTGCAAATCATTTTCTGCTCCCTTGTGGATCAAAAAAGTACTGTTGCCTGGCAACCTCTCAGCCAATAGAATGGAAGTGTCATACCGGGTGCTATTGGGAATTTTTCTGCCATAATTCGAGAGCACACATTTTCAGTCTGAAAGCAGGATTTCATGTATTTTGTTCAACACTTGTGTTGTGCTTACATTTTCAATTTGAAAGGAGAACTTGATGTCTTTCTTCACAAAACTTGAAATCCTTTTACTAATATCAATGTCTATTTTGTGTGTGTTGTTCTGTCAATTAAGTCGCTTTTTCCCAACTTGTTTATAAAGAGATTAACATTTTTTATTAAATAGTTTTGACTTTGAACCAAACTTGATGAAATTGTCAGCAAACCTAAATTTCTGAAGTCAGCCAACATTTATCAGTCTACTTACTGAAAGATATTCTTTTGACATCAAAGTCTAGACGATAAACTTTAGCTTCCCTTTTCATCTCTTTTTGCTCATTTGATCTAGCTGCTGAATTTTCTCAGCTAATGCAGCAGAGTCTCTCTGCCTTATTGAAAAACACAGCTAGAAAGTAAACTTGTATAAGTAGGTTAATCAGTGGCGAAAGAGTGAGCAGCACAAATTCAAAGAGGCTCATTTAGATGTGCGTTTGTGTGTAAAAAAAAAAAAAAAGAAAGAAAAGGGGACGGGGTGGTTGCTGCAGCCCTCTCAGCCTTGACTAGTACAGATTTAACTAACAGAAGGGTAAATGTTTAATGTTATCCATCAACATGATGTGGGAAAACAGAAAGCATCTGTCCAGTAACACAGAGGGAGAGAAAGAGACAGATGGATACATTCCAGATTAGATATATTAGAGATCAGCATAAGTATATACAAAACACAGGGCTTTTGTGTAATCAAGAAAGGATTGGAAGTGAAAAATGAAATGTGGAAAAATATTGTTTATGTTAATGTATTTAGCCACATTTTTCATTTTCTGTCTTCCTGGTGAATTTGCATCATATTTTCTGAGTAAAATGCCACAGATTTTGACAAATTTCTGCTCTAATTTTCCGCTTCAGTCTTTGTCCATTTTATTAATATTTGGACGGTTTTTGATATTAGCTACTATAACTATTACAGTAAGTGTAGGAATGCACCAGTGTACATATAAGAGCTTTACTGATATTGAGTAAATCTCAAGACCATCAGTTTTAAAATGCCTCGACGGCTTTGTGCTTATGCTCAGCTTTTATGACCCCTCTCTGCAGCTGAACGTTTCTTATTGACATCTTTTGGCTTTTCCAGTAAATGCCTCTGACCTTTGCTTCTGTCTTTTTGACTAACAAGTATCACAGAAGGTTTTTGCTGGATGTGCTTAACACGTTAAAGAAGATTTAAGCTTCCACCAGCAACGCACTCTTCATTCCCAGCCCTGAAAGCTCAAGTGGGCTGCTGCAGGCTGAGGAGAGGCTAAAATTTATGTGTTTGCAGCATTGAAGTGCAAAGCTCCATAGTAACTTTGGAGATGAAAATGGCTCAGTTTGTATTGATTTTATGTAAATGAGTATTTTTACAGAATTAATTCAGTAGTGTTAATTGTATCAATCATTTTTACAAACCTAAGTTGCTCTAAGACCACATCAGTAAGAATCCAGAGAAACATTTAAACCATGGCATGCTTCACTTATCTCAGTTAAGGTCAGTGGTCAGGCTTTAACAATAACAGAGACAGATCAAAATTACACTCATGGGGGCTTCCACAAACAATAGAGGAGCAGCTGCAGAATTATTTAGGACCAATATTTAGAAGACTAAATACAGATGGAATGAAAGATTTAGAATAATTGAGTCATTCATGAGATAATTACTGACCTTAGTACACCAAAAGAGGACAACAGGATGAGAGGTGCTTCTATTTTTGGAGGGTGATACAGTCAGCCTTATTACTGAGCTCCCTTTGCCATAGACATGATAAATGGCTTGTACTTGAATAGCGCTTTATCAAGTCTATATCAGTCATTCACCCGCTCATGCGGGTGAATGACTGATAATGACTGATATTGGTGCTCACACATCTGTGCAGCACCAATAATTTCTGACCATACTTTAGTTATGAGGTGCAGACTGTTTTTGTCTAGTTAGCAGATAGAACAAGATTTAAAAAAAGGAGGAAAAAATTGTTTTTATCATAAATGTAGGTTATTATTGAGCACTTTTTCCAAATACTTGTATTGGGTGAAGTATTTCTTCTTCCTCACGACGTGTGAAACATTTGTGCATTTAGGTCAAGAAAATTGTCATCACACCATGCAATAAATAACGAGAGCCTCCACTAGCAGCACCTTAAATCTTTTAGCTTTATTTTAGACTAAAATGCTGTTTTTGTTTGCAGTTCCTGCAGCTGCTTGAAAACCCGTTGAACTCACTGAGTGCTCTGAGGCTCGCTATCCCAGCTCTCGCTGACCGCAAATAGAAACGCATTAAAAATCCCATTAGCGATAACATCAGCCAGTCACTAACAAGGAAATTAGTCACTTATCAACAGAATTTAGATACGTTGGTCATATTACATTCCACAATGTTTTTTTTTTTTTTTTTTATCTGGTGGGAGCATGATGTGAATGCACTCCACGTGTTGTTTGTTGGGTTGGAGTTGGGTTTGTGCTGGAGTTGGGACTTGAACAAGGCTCTTCGTGTGCAGAGCTGTCCCTGCTTTAATGGTGGCTACATTTAAACAATGTGAACCTAAATAAATAAAGAATATAAACTACAGTGATCTCTTGTAAAATCTGGGTAAAATTGTAAGTTTTGTAAGTAAGTGAAGCTGTGTAGGTGTGCAAAGGGGTCTGCAGCTAACCCTAAGCCAACTGTTGTGTTGAAATTGGATTTTTTCTTTTTAATATTTTACTTTTGCAGTCAGGAGTGTGTTTTTATGAGAGGAGCGGGTCAGGAGGGGTTCAAGGATTGCCAATCTTTTCCATTATGACATTCCTTGATTTAGACCTTTTATTGTGCTGAGCCACCATATAACGTGGCTGTTTCATATAGCCACATTTACTTGACTGCATCCAGATGTGCTATTGTTGCCATCACAGTTTAAATATGAGTTACAGGGCAATAATCCAGGTGACACATGAACATTTAGGAATCTGCCGTCAAGATGGCTGGATCCGATTCAGTCATGCTTCCTGTTCTTTTAGCTTTACTTCAGTGTGTTGAATATATTTGAGATGTTAGTACAGATTTACTTTTCCAATTCATTTTCCAATTTTATAACTTGTATTAGTGAAATAGTGAGTGATCGTCCCGTCTCACCACTCAGGTTCAAGGGCAGCAGCGATGGAGTTTTCCAGCACCGTGTACGATCTGGGTTCTCCTGTCAGCGCCGGTCCGCTGCAGGTCGTCCAGTTAGCCGAGGAGCTCAAACTTGCTCTGGAGGTTCAGCCCAGTCAGGAGGAGAGAGACAACCTCAGAGCTCAGCTGCCTCCAGAAACGGCACAGGCTCTCATCGATTGGCTGCAGACTGGAAGTGTAAGTACAGGATCTGAAATGACAAACACTCTCCATGTATTTCCTTCAACTGTGTTTAAAGCAATTTCATAAAAGAAACGTATATAAATATTGCTGGATTATCTTACTATCTCTATTCTACTAATCAGATGCTTAAACAACCCATAAAATGGCCTGCGTGACGAAATTGCGTTGTGCAAGGTGCTTGTAGAAAGAAAACATTTAAAAAGTGAGGTAAATCTTTACCCTGACATGCTGCTTCTCATTGTTTCTGTCACCCTAAAACACCTGGAGAACTGGAGTGAATGTGTTATTATTATAAGAGCAAGTAGACTTAGAACATGTTCTGGTAAGTTTTCCTTGGAGACACCATTACAACTTAACTATTATTGACTTCCTGCACTACGTTCCCTCCCTCACACCGTCTGTCGGCCCTTTGTGGCCTCTCAGTCATTACAACTTCTCTGTTTACGTCAGCTTTTACCTCTCCTTCTCCCTCTTTTTCCCCTTTGCGCTCTCTATATAGTAGTGCAGCGTCTCCCCACTCACTGAGACTATGCATGTTTAGACACCCACCCTCTCTTTTCTCATGCAAGTCTGTTTTGTAAATGTAAATGAGGTAGCTTTTTATTTAAGCAGCCAAGTCTCTGGCAGGAGGACTTGATTTCTTTGGATTGTTACTCTGAGGTAAGGTAAAACTGCTCCAAAAAGTTGAAAGTATTGTCCTGCAATGTTTGAAAGATGGTTGCCGGTTTTGTTTTTGGATATGTTTTTCAAGTGGGAAGTCTTAAGTATGAAGGGTCCTGACTAAGAATTTTTATGCTTTTAGTAATCAGATTACTGGTATAAAGCTGGTTATGCTGTCAGAATCAGTTGGCTGCTGTTGCTGAGCTTTGTCCTGCAGAGGTTGCTGTTTTCTGTGCAGAAAGCAAAGTCAATTTGTATGCAGAATAATGGAGATGGGTGCAGCTGAAGATTTTCAGCTTGTGCATTGTCTCAGCAGCAGATGTCTCCCATGTTGCTTTCGCTCGCTGCTCATTCCGCCCTTATTCTTTCCTTCTTTGCTTTGTTGAGTTTCCTCTTGTCTTCTGCTTCCTGTTCCTGCTACTTTTTGCTGCGTATTTTCAGTGCACAAGTTTATTATTTTTGTGAATATGAATGCACTTTACATTACACACAATTGACAATTAATGTCAAGAGGATGTTGTGCACAGTTGAGGGGATGATTGTAGAAAAGTGTAACTGGTTTTGAATTGTCTCATTTTTCAGAATTGAAAGCAATGATATTCAGTTCAACATATTACAATCTTATATTCTCAGTTCACTCCAGTTTTATACTTGCATACCTCTAGACTTATTCAAGACTGTCCATATAGAGAAACATTAGATAGTTTGGTATAAAACTGTTTGTTAAAAAAAAAACAAAAAACAAAAAATCCTTGCAGTACCATGCATAGGGCAAAATCAAATGTATAACATTTTAATTAAATATTTTAATTATTTCACTGACAAAATATTTAAATAAATATTTTGGCCACCGACAATAACGACTAACTGCAGCTGGACACCAACACACCTTCACCAAGCTCAACTGCAAGGAGACAATGGGCATTGTCTTCATAAAGAGAGAGCTTAAATGGTATTGTCAACACCTTTCTATACGTTATCTATTTCAAATGAAAAGGTTCAGTTAAGATTTTCAAGATTATATCATTAAAGTTTATAGAAACAATGGTGTGTGATTGTTTAGGCAATCCGTTTGGTAGGCAGTTACTATCACAACAATTTTTCCTTGAAATGGACTGAGAAGCAACCTGGAAAATCCCCATGTCTTTGCTGAAACAAGGAAAGCTGCTCATGTGCAAATTTTTAAAACGCATGAATAAACGCCTGGCAGATCATAAGACGACTAAAACAGAAGCTTGGCTGCTCCTTCTTGTACTCTTCCTGTCTAACTTTTCCTTTTTCTCTTGCACCTCCCTGCTGACCTAAACGGAGCAGGATCAAAGATGTTGGAGCTTCATAATTAGTCTTCAACCCTGGGGCTTCTCTCCTGGGATACTTCACAGTGAAACTCATACATATACACAGGAAGGATTATCAGATGATTTGTGACTGCCACTCATTAGAGCGGACTCAAAATGTTTGTCTTCAGATACGAGATATTGGAAAAGCGGATTCCCTGCCCAGAGATTAGTAATCACAAATAGAGTGTATTTTCTTGTTGACTTGTATGCATTGTTTCACATTAAACTGACTAAACGTCCCCTCGTTCAGAATAGTATAAGGAATAATGAATATTATGTATGATATTCACACATTTAAAGCATTGTTTGGGGTCTCCAATCTCCTCAGCATTTTGATCATCACCCTCAGGACCAAAGAACATGTTTGACCTTCATCGTTAGTAAAATAAGAATTGGTACTTACTAATCTGATGACTCTGGGTTTCCATTGGAGCTGTACAGTATGTTAAGTATCTATCATAATTAAATGTCAGCTATCCAAACCAATCCCGAACTCTGTGAAAAAGTAATTGACTCCTAAACTTGTAAATTGCTCTCCCACCTTGGCAGATACATCTGCTGTCTGGCAGTGGAGGTATTTTGGCAGACTCATCTTTACACAATGGGTTAATTCAAGTTCGAGTTTTTGACATCAGCCGCTGTTTAGCTGTGTAGAAGGGAATTTGCTGGAATGCAAATTTGCACTGTCCTGCAGCATATACTTAAGTGTACTTGAGCTTAAGCTCATGAACTGATGACCAGAAATTAGCTGTGATTACATCAAGGTTTTTTTTTTTAATGCGCATTTTAAAGTATCGAAAAGATTGAGATTAATTCTAGCCTCCAGTGCGGCTGAAATTGTTTAATTTCAATGTTTATATGTAATTAGTGGGATCACAGTGAGTAGTAGTTTTTGTTACTATGGGAGAAAAAATGGTATATATTCATCTGATGTGTAATGGCACAATGTGGATTCTCTGTAGCTTGTTGAATATTAATTTAACCAAATGAAAATGAAATTCAATTGAATATTATCTTAATTTTAAAAAATTAGTAAAAAAAAAAAAAAGATTGTGACAGGTATTTTTTATTGTCTGTCATAATAAAAAGTTTTATTTGTTGCTCCAACAATGAATAAATAAAACAACAAATAAATTTGGCAAATGTATTAACTAACAATATTTACTTGGTTCCGGAGAATAACTCATAAACCTACAACAAATAATTTTCTTCTGTTAAATATATAACAGTTCAATTGCAAAAATTTATGCTACCAAAGACACATTTTCTACTTTGTTTTTCTATTTAATGAGCATAAATTATTTGTAATCTGCTGCTTCTTACCTGTGGTGCATTCATTCATTATCTGTACATGTTTTGTTTTGTCGTCTTGACACGTGGCTTACATTGTTATGATGTATGTGTCTGCAAAATATACAGGAAATGGGACCCCAGGCCAATAGTTTTAAACAAAAAGGGGAAAAAAAATGATGAGATGCAGAGACGCACAGATGGGGGCCGACACAGGAGACTGCTTTGAAGTCTTCCTGTACCGTGACTACAGCTTGATTCAAAGGGGGAGAGAAACTTTGTGTGTTTGTTTGTGCTTGTGAGTCTGTTGCTGCTTTGTTCGCGTTTCTGGCATCCGATGGGCCCAAACTCAAGAACAGATGACGGGGAGACTGAGGAAGAACCCTCCCACTTACCCCCTCCTCTCTGGACTCGGCCATTTGGCTGTCAGACTTCTCTCGGTAGAAAGAGAGGAGAAAAACAAATAGGGTAAGCAACTCTGAAATGAAGAAAGAAAGGGACAGAGGAGGCAGTGTTGGTCCACAGGAAAAGAATGATTATTCTTTCAGAAACTTTGGAATGAAGAGTAGTTTCTAAGGAGAGAGGGAAGACGAGTAATATTGACGAGAGAAAGGAAGGACAGAATAAGGAGGAGGGGGTGAAGCAGAGGGGAGTTGTCCCTCTCAGGAGGCAGAGATCATAAAAACCCTCCTCCACAGCTGTGAACATCGCAACAGTACTTGAATGCTGTGCAGCGGTTAGTGACTTCACTTTTACTTTTTTTTTTTTTTTTTTACTTGGATGAAATGCACACACAAACTTAAAACGTGTGCAGAAACAGAAGAAAAAAGTTAGGCCAGTGATGGGCTGGGAGCATGGAGACTCCCATTGATTTCTACAAACACTTCTCTTGGCTCAAAAAGGTGAGGGCTGCGTCCTTTTTCATGTTTGTGTTTTTCATGTCTGTCACGCACATTCCACGCAATTAATTTTGCAATCTGTGCATGCCCGGAAGGAGTTTTCTTATAGACAACAAACAGAAAAAGTACTGTTAAGAGGGAAAGTAAAAACTCTTCTGCAACAGTTTGGGAGTTGTTGATCTACTTAGGATGCATGCGTTTGTTCTGCTTGTATTGTGTTCTTTCCTGGCAACAGACTGTTTTCTGATGTAATTTCCCTTGCAGTCCAAAAGCAGAGCTACATCTCTTAGTTGCGTTGGATTTATGAAGACACTCTTCACATGAGTTTTTGTATCAGATTAGAAGCATTATCCGTCAGCTGATGGTTGTTGACGGTGCTGCGACTGATTCTGTGGATTTAATCAGAGAGGGAATGTGCCATGTGAGATTTTATCAGTGGTTAAAAAATGTAATTGAATGTTTAACTGATAGAAGTGTTTGTCCACAGTTTATGCCATATGTTGTGCTGTCATGTGTTGTATAATCAGTCCTTCTTCGACGTAACTCGGTGTGATAGTTTTTAACTCTCCCTTATTTTGTTATTCCCTGCTTCAAATTCAGCAGATTGTCTTGTAATTTTTAAAAGAGGTGTTTTTAACATCATTTTTCTTTCATACAATTTTTAACTTTTTTTATTCTAGTCATTTATCAGCCCTGTCATATTCCATTTTGTACCCACTCATTTAATTTTGTTTATTTATGCAGGTTGGTCCCATTGAGAGATGCTTTTTAGAGTGACACCTGGCAAGAACTGCAACACAATTTAAGTACAAAGGTCACACTGCAGAGTAGTAAATCTAGACTCCAGACATTTCAGTTGGGCTTTGAATTGATAAGGGGAATTATTTACATTATTTATGTTTTATTTGACTTCAGTGGCCAATCAGATTTCTTCAGGTGAAAAAAATAGGAGAGCACAAACTCTAGTATGCATGCCAACTTTCAAAAATTGGGGAACATCTGCTTTGTTTGCTCCATTGTTCAAGTGCTATCCACATAAATGGGTGTCTCACTTCTCACTCGCGTCACCTGGATTAATAATTGTCACATCCAACAATCCAGCCTTTGTCGGTATCTGCTTTATCCATCAGGAGTGGGTTGAAATTGGGAATTTCTAACAGTAAGTGGGTCAAGAGGCAGGGTGGATTCTCACCAGGATATCACAGGGTAAAACAGAGACACACAAGAGTCAAGACCAACAACCCTGTGCAAACTAATACCCAAAAGTTTAGCAAGAACAGTAAACCTAATATGCCAGATTACTCTGAGAGAACCCACATGTCTGTAAGATCATGCAAACTTCATATGCGTTAACCACACACTGCTGATGTGCTGAATCAAACAAACACATGAAAACAAAAGTTTATATAGCCACAGGAAATGGTAAAATTACCTTTGGATGTGGTTGGTGTTTTTAGTTTGGTGGTTTCGGAATATGCATTTAACGCATTTAAGGTCCCTGTCTTTTCTTTCCAAAGACCAGATGACATTTTTTCACTGAGATCATTTAAAGTAGGTGTGTGCTTCACTCTGTCATGCATTCTTAGACACTGGGATCATAAACTGAGTTCCACCCTCTTTAGCGGCTGAAACTGGTAGGTCCCCATGTTCCCTGTGAAGTACTTTAGGTCTATGTAGTGAGAATATGTGTAACTTTAACAAACTTTATCCTGAGTGGAAACTAGTCATCACAAAGCAGGTCAAAAATGGACTTCAAACATGTCCATTGGTCCAACTCATCAAAACTTGGAAAAAGATATTGTCAATTTTTACTTTGTCTCCTGAGATTCAGAACGATCACGACAAAACTGTCTCCTGTCAAAGTAGAGGCAGTTTATTTTATTCCAAAAATATATTTTTCAGGATATCTGGAGTCACAGTCTTCATATTACTTTTTATAGTTTTTATTCATCCCTGCATCCAAAACTAAAACCGTTTGTAGTGGTGTTGTTAAACATGTCGTACAAACTGTGGGAGTCAATAACGTGAGTCATAGTGGTTAGTCTGTTTTGGAAATAAAAAATGTACATGTGCATCACTACTTCCTCTAACTGGTACAACTTTGTTGAAGTTTCCTGAAAATACCCTGATGACACAGAGCTAAATCACAGAGCTAAATTCTAACTAATTTTCTACGAATAGCTTTATAGAATTTGAACAGTGTTACAAACACTGACAAGAGAAAGATTTCACACATTTACTCAAAAGTTTGATGTGTCCACTACTTTTCCTTCCATTCTCACATCAGGCGTTGACAGAGAGATAAAAACAGGCTGGCCTGGTTTCCGTTATCAGCCCTTTCAAGTACTGTGTCACCATCCTTAAATGGTTCTGCTTCTCTGGAGTCTGATGGGAAAGTCAGCGATTACAGGAGATTTTCCAGCTGAGCAACTTACCAGAAGTTATAGTGTAGCATTACTGCAAAACTAAATTTAAAGTTGAGACCTAAAGAAATGATGTTTCAATATATAATTCCTTGTGCCAGTGTCTTGGTGTTTGATCATAATATGATGATGCTGGGGTCATTTAGTCACATCAGAAATCTATAAATGTCCTCAGACCTTTTTGACCTCATCTGCAGATGACGCATCAAGAATTACATTCAGTTTTTAAGGTACTTTGTCTTTTCTTAAATGCGCAATAAGTCATTGCAGAAGTAATCTTGCCAGGTAATACAGCTTGGAATAAAGGTTCAAGAATTAATATGTCTGTCAAGAACTTGCAAACATTCTTGACAGAATCTGTTAATCTGTATTAGAAGCGAGAAAGCAGTTTGGCTTAGGTGGAAAACAAAGATGTTTTCAAAACTGCGTCATTGGTGTGATGGCAGAAAGGGCCACACATTTTAGTTCTCTGACTTTCATATCAAGTCCTGGACTGTCACAAATAATTATGATGGAGCATCAAAATGTAGTTCAGCTATAAAATGTGTTAAATGTATTAATGCTGAATGTGGTACATGAAGGGTGTTGTAAATACTGATGAACAGCATTTTGTCATTTGCCGTGGCTGAATGTTACTTGTATCTCATCAAAAGGACCAAGGAGTCACAAGGTGTTTTCCCACAACTTCCAGTGTCCAATTGATGCTAGTGCATGCTTTGGACCAGTTCTTTGTGATCCCACGGCTGCAAGTTCTGGTTCTGGCACCACTAGGCTGGTCTCTGTGTTTTCACCAACCTGAAGAAATTTCTTATTTCACCAGGAGTTTTAGGTGGTCTTTTCTACACAGTCACAGTTTTTTAGTGCCTTGTTTATATCTCCAAAGTTACTTTTGCTTTAGATATTTCTAAATTCGGGATTACGGTTATTTATTGTGATGTCACCTACGACAAAGGTCAATGTCCAGCAGATCACTACATACTGCAGATATTTCCACTGCATCAATAAATGCCAATAAGTACCGATCAATTCAGAGATCAGCTGATTGGGATGGTAGAACCTTCAAAATGCCCAGTTTTCTTTAAAAGCATGTTAGTAAATTATGTTGGTAAATTTAAGGCATCTTTTTGTGCTTCAGAGAAATGCTTTATACAACAGTGGGAGGATCAAACATTTTATACAAGAGAGTAGTGGTGTAATAATGTGGCTTCTAGTTTGCTCTCGGGTTATAGAAAACCAAACCATTTAGAACAAGTTTAGAACTTGCTCTGGCACCAGCCCTGGTTAAGCAATGGAACTATTTTGGTGGTGAAACCTTAATTTTCATCGAATGCTTGAACCAAAACCGCTGATTTGCTTTTGAACTCTGCACCATCTGTAGGTTGAGCCCAACCATGCCATGAAGGTAGCTCAGTTCACCCAGGATGTTGTTGTTCTGGTCATGGTCCATGTCTCTTTCCATGGAGTTGGACAACGCATTAACCATTTACTCGAGAGCTTTGTTTTTCGATTTAGCTCAGAGAGACTGCTCCCTCATAACTACAGACAAATTATCCATTGTCTGCTCCATTCTGGTCACTTGGAAACCAAACAAACATTTAAAATTCCTCCACTTGAGGTAAAGACCTAGCCCATTTGGTGCACAACCCTCGCCTCTCTAGCCAATGCTAGGTCATGCACTAAATGCTAGGTCATGCACTTGGTGCAGATGTAATGATTTCTCGTGGAAGTCATCCTGTAACTTGGGCGAAGGGTTGCGAATTGTGAGAAGGGCTTTTCCTGTCCAAAGTCTAGTTTCATAATCGGATAAATGAAGACAACCACATTATGGACATGAAAAACTTTGCTTTGATTATTATTTTTTTTATTTATATGGAATGCCAAATAAATTTCTTCTTATTAGTTAAAGATATGAGCTTATACGTTTTCTGTAGCTCTGAAGCTGATAGAAGCCAAAAGCGTCTTATTTTCAGTTTCTTTTGGAAAATCCCTGTTGACAGTGACAGTTGAGGAAGTAGCAGCTTCAGACCAAAACGACTGCATAATCTGAAAAGCAATACAAACTGCTCCGGGTCTTCATCTGCAGTTACTTTGCTCGAGTTTCATTTTCAACTCCCGAGTTGTTAAAAATATAATCCTGGTGAGAACTGGGGGAGATTCTGACCCAGAGTGTCTCTTCCTTTTGTGCTACAGTAGATGCTATTGAAGCCTTTTCTATTTCTAGATATGATACGGCTTCTTTTCCTGCTCTTTTCCTGTTTTGCCATGGGGCTTGAAATATATCCATAACAGTTTATATAAGATATGTTTTGTTCCACTCCAAGGTCAGTGGTGGAGTCAGAGAGGTCTTATGAAAGTTTTATCGCAAGCCTCAGTGACAGTGTGGGTCCGTTTTGAGATAAATGAGACTCTGAGTCAGATGATGTTTCATAGGAATGCATCATGTGGTTTAAACAAGGGCCATTCTGTGAGCTCTTTATGTAAATCTGACCAACGGTAACCTTAAAAAGTGAGTGTAAAGTAGCAAATGGATTTAGATTGTCTTTCTAGATTGTAAGACATGGGTGCGCTGCAGACATCACCAACATAATAAGTAATATTTCTACACAATCGATGGTTGGAAGTCCAAATAAAGGCCATTTATAATGTAGTACTTAACATACCAACTCATGGGCTCATATCTTGCAGAACTTTGTTTAAATCAACTTTCTGAAGCGATAGCCTCCAGCATGTATTTCAGTTAATTTCTAGTATGTTTCTATGTTGGGTGGAAAGCCTTAGGACTTAATCAGAAAATTCAAGTCAGCGTAAATTTTTGGCATACTCACGATATGCGACTACTCACTCTTTCTCCGTAAGCTTCCTATTAATATGCATGTTTCTTTCTTGTGTCCAGGTGAGCCTCTGTACTCCAGCCAACAATGAAACCTATCAGGAACGACTACTTCGACTAGAAGGAGACAAAGAATCTCTGGTGCTGCAGGTCAGAGAAAATGTTTTTTTTTCAGTCATTTTAAATGTTAATGAAACGATATGCAAAATGTTTCGTCTTCTGTTTGTTTTCAAACGGTATTTTAAATCCATAAAATTAACTTCTGGCAGGATTTTGCTATCATTCCAGCTGTTGTAGTGTATAATCAAGGAACTCCAGATATTTTGTGTTACTTCATTACAAATCAAGCTCAGACACTTTCACAACCACATGCGAAAACTGACAACTTCCACAGCAACCATAAATGTCAAGACTGTAAAGCTTAGGCACGGGATGATTACAGGTCTCAGAACTATGTCATGTCAACAGGTTCTCTATGCGCTCAGATCAGTTTAATAGCTAGTTCAGGCAGCTGTGATCTCCAGAGTATGGCTTTAATTTCTCATATTTAATTAGCTGTTATGAAGCTGCTCCTCAGGCTGCCTTTTCCTGTCTGTGTTTGTTTTGCTCTTTGAAAAGCACTTTTTTTTTTCTGCAATGCTCACAATCGGCTGAACGACCCCGGCTCACAAAGCTATCATAAAGTCTATATCTCATTCCTTGCCGCCACCTCTCCCCCATATGCGCACCTACTCGTTACACATTCCTCATCTGACATCAACTCTGATTGGCTGATAACCAGGGATGACCGGGGCTTCGGTTTCTTTGACGGAGGATTTAATTGGCTGTTGACAGTTTGTCCGTTTTGTGGGTTTCCGCTTTACTTTCTCCTTACCTGTTTCAGCTTCAGGTCTGCATATGTGAAGTGTAGCTCTGCTTCAACATTTATTTCTGTTTGTATTAGCGGATATACACTCTGTGGTTGGCTTATGGCGTCCGTGTAGTAATAAGGAACTATTTCTTTGTGTTCGCCGGAGGTAAGACGTTGTACTTTAAACTTCCTTTTTGCACTTCATGCAGTCCTGCTAAAGGTGTCTGAAGTAGTTCTTGTTTTGGTGATAAGATACATTCAGTTTAATTATTGGGTACCTGTGATTTATATGATTGTGTGCCTAGTAGTGTTTTAAAAGCAACTCATTGCTTTTATTCACTTGCATTTGGCACATTGTTGGAAAGGAGGGGTAGTTAGATCATTTAACACATGTTGAGTGAAAACGTTGGCTGTGAGACAAGACATGACTGCAGGGCTGAAAGTCAGAGAAGTGACAGAGAATCAGCTGCTGTCAGATGGATTTAGCACACTGTGGTAATAAAAGAAGGGTTAAAGTGTGTTTGGCAGGAGGTAAATGTGTTGTCTGGGAGATCATAGTAACTGTGAAACGCATTCCTGAGTGACAAGTTGCTAAGTAAATGGATGTTTCTGTGGAGCTAAATGTTGAGATTTAGCTACTTTCTGTAGTGTTTACAGAAAGTGTGTTGGAGGACAAAAGTTTCTGATTTAACTTCATAGATATGCCTTTTAGAATAACTCCTACCATTTGAACTTTTCCACACTTTGTCACATTGCAACAACAAACTTCAAAGTATTTTCTTAATGTTTGATGTGGTAGACCTATAAATTCATAAAGTGAAAGGAAAATGATGCATGTTTTCTCAAGTTTCCTGAGTCAATGTTTTACAGAAACCTTTCTTTTTATTTTGCAGCAGTTTGTAAGTCTTTTGGGTTACATTTCTACCAGACTGACATATTTTACATTCCTCTGTTCAAAATTCCTCGACCTCCTCGACTGGATGGAGTAAAACGTTGTGAACAATATTCTCTTTTTACCCTTTTTGTAGTATCAACTTATTAGTTACAAGTTCTCATTTCTTGTCTAAAGTTATTGGTGAAAGAAACAAATATATCTTATTTGTTTCAAAAACAAGTAAAAAAACATGCAGGTTGAATTGAAAATGTTTTTATAATAAATCATTTGATTATAACAATACAAATTTTAATGACATTGTTTAATTTGGTGTAAAAAAAATATATATATATATATGTAGTCGTCTCTTTCTTGCAAAAAATATCAGTTTGTATAACAATGAAATTCTGGATTAATGCACAACATGATGCTATGAACATGTTTATGTTTTTCATTAGTATCCAAAGCTGCAGACACATCTTTGTGGAATGCACTTTATTTTAGTTACTACTTTGGCTTTTATCTTGTTCTGCTAAAGTTAGCTGGAAAAGTGCTAAAGATGAAAATCACACTGTCCCAGGCAATTGCTGAGCAATCCTCCCTAACCTTTGAGTACTGCTTGAAGGCTTCAAGTAATCGCAGTTGGGATTTAAAGTGAACTTCATTGTTATTTTGTGGTTCTTAAGGAGAAAAATGGAAAGCCTCCATCTTAAAGGATTTTGTACTCCAACAGGTAAGCGTTTTGACGGACCAAGTTGAGGCTCAGGGAGAGAAAATCAGAGACTTGGAAACTTCTTTGGAAGAGCATCGACAGAAATTGGCTTCCACAGAGGAGATGCTGCAACAGGTAAAACATGTAAAAAAACAAAAACTATTTGCTGTGAATTTTAACATTTGCAAAAAATCTTATTTTATCATCCAATAGTATTTACTATTCTATTTAAATTAAAGCAGTGCTTGTAATATTGCTGCACATGTTACACGACTGATGTGTAAAATGCATCCTATTACATTTGATTATTATTTAATGTCATGTTAGTCAGCCACTTTATGTTTAACCTTTTGTGATTGCTGGTATATTTATTGTTTTTAATCTAACAAAAAAGAGTAAAGTATGTTTGTCTGAAATTGGGAGTCATAAAAGTTAACCATGGAGCAGAACTACCGATAGTATCAGTATTTGGGCGGCACACAGCTCAACGGCACTATGTTTACATGCATACCTTGCCAGCCAGCTGGAGATCACAATCACATCCATCTTGCACAGCTTCAAACTGAATGTTTGTAGTTAAAGCACCTTCTTTTATGGCTTTTTAGACGTCCTACATTTACAGCTACACACACGTCCACTACTGATATCTAAAACATGCCACGCCTGCAAGTACAGATCTGTTGTAATCAACAGAATGCCAGCGCTAATGATCTAGATTTAACTCCACTAACCAAAACTTGCAGCTGAAATCTGAGTTTCTTTTTAGTTTCTAAATATATTGTGGCAATAACCTTATGTGCAATGTTGATATCGAAAAAAACTTCAGAATGCAACAAGTTCCAAATCTGGTTAATTTACACTTTGTATGGAATATTCGTGGTTTTTCATAATGTCATTGCAATAGCTGTTCTCAACCGATCCACTTTAAAAACATCCCAAAAAGTGTGATGGACATCAAGATCACAGGCGGATAATTTACATTTGATACCAGTTGCAATATTTATCAATAAGATTATGCATCATCAATAAATAGCATTACTTGTTATACTAGTTAATTTGCTTCATATATTAGTAAATGATTTTAAAATAGTTATATGTAAGATAGAAATTTTTTAAGCTCATATGTCTTAATTATTTTTAAAAATCTTAAAATGTCTTTAATTTGAAGTTATTAAAACTTGCAGAAACCCTGGATCAAGCTTTTATAGATAAACTTTACTATGATGGAAAAATAATTCAAGCTAGATTACAAACACAACAGTCATACTGGTGTTAATTAAAACCCGATATCACGTTTATGGCAAAACGTTGGTGCTGAAGGTTTCAGCTAGGAGAGAAAATTAATAAATAAAGGAGTGGCAGTTTGTTTTATTGCTTATTCCAGTTTGTCTTGACCTCCTTTGACTCCTGTCCTCCAAGCTGATGTAAGGTGATATGAACGGCACAAACACCAAGTAGGTTCAACAAGTCAAAGCTCAACAATTTCCTGGAAGGAATGAGACAACATTTGTCTGACTTAAAGCAAACTAAAACTGAAGGTGGCTTGTCTTCCTGTAAAGACAAGTTATGGTCTTTACAGCATGGTGAGTAATACTAAAATTGCATTATTTAGTGTTTTACTCAGCCAGTCAATCAAAAATTAACTATACAGCACAGTAACCCATTAATACCTCAGTTTATATACAATTCTATAAATTATTTTTTTTTTCTTCTGTCCAACAGATTTAAATTAAGTTGAGATTAACCTGAATGTAGCACATATATTGTGCCTAAATTTAGATGCTTGGAATGCAAAATAAGATATTGAGCCTAAAGTAGACTATTAATGGTTCTGATATGATAATTTGCATGTTTTCAGTGAAAATATCAACAGTATATACTGCACATTATATTTACATCCTTATATCCCATCTTCCATCCATCGTTCTAAATTTCTACATAAAAAAAAACATTTTAGACTTTCACTAGCTTTTACCTAGCAATTCAAATAAATTCTTGAAATGTATTGTTCTGTGTGAAATAAGTCTGTAAAACTAATAAGTTTAATTTTTACAACTGAACAAGTGAAACAAATTAATTTGAAATGAGGCCCGTGTAAGTTAAGTGCTCCTAAACCTACAAATACTGAACAATCATTTTAGTAGTTTGTTGGTTTTCCCATCTGCACTTAGCTAAAACACAAGCAGCAGCATTTGGTTGTCATGATAAAAGTGAATAAACAACTGTGAATGCTGTAGTACTTTGTACACATTTAAAGTCGCTGGAGGATTAATGATGGACGCTGATGTCCTTTCCTCTGGGTTTTGTGCTAAACAGCGTATTGCCAAACTAAATTGCTCAACAACAGACATTTTTCCTTCTGTCAGCATGTTGCATATTTGAGAGAACATGCTGATGTTGGCAGCTAGCTCAACAGATGGTAATTATAGTCCAGTGGACCAAAATAATTTTAGCTTCAGTCTGGACTTTTTTGAACACCTATTCATCCAGATGTTAGAAAATAAAGATGTGCATATTATTTCCAGGCTTTTTGAAACGCTTGCGTCTTCTGACACCTCATTTAAACACAGCACGGATCGGATCGTCTGCCCTCGTGTGTGTTTCACATCTTCTGTGGTCAAGGTGACTAAAACCACCTCTGAGCCAGTTTGACAACAGATCAGACCAGGTTTTTTTCCCAGTTGTTTTTCTTGACGTCAGCAGTGAAGCAAACTCATGAGTTCTGCCAGCCTGGACACAAAAGGACCCCAACCCTGACTGCCACAGAATCAGCCTTCTGTTTAAACTTCTCAATGGGCTCTTTGTCCTCCTTGTTGCCCACATTGAGTGTGAAAAGGCCCCAGCTCCAAAATAAAAAGCCTTATCAGGAGTGTTATGCTTCTTTCTATCGTCCTGCTAGCTTTAATTAATATTTTCTAGATTTATGTAGAAATGCAAAACGCAGTATCTCAAATTGACAGCCAATTACTAACACTGCTGCAGCAATAAATCTTTTCTGCAGTCAGTCATGATTTGAGGCTCTAGCAGCACCGATATGCGGCCGTTGTACATATTTTGACCGCTGATCAAACACACAAAGTGATACGAGATGTTTGGTAAAGAGAGATTTCGGTGTGGGGACTGATAAAGGTGGTCTGCGTCTCGTGTGGTATTTTGTTTCGTCTTCTCCAGGTTCTTAACTCCTCTTTGTGTACACGTAGAAGGCAGATTTTAAGGATTTAAAATGTGACGACATGTCTGCTCTCTCTTTCCTGACTGCTTCTATCAGTGCGGAAGCTAGAATAAGTCTTCAGTGCAACAAGGATTATGCTAGGCCGTGATGTACTGCAGATAAATCCAAATATTTCCATCACTGATGAGTAAACACTGCTTGTACAGACAAGCCAGTACCTTTTAACACTGAGTTTGACCTACAATTCCTGAAAACTTTATTTCCTTAATTTGTTCAGCTATGTAGTTGGTAACAAAATATGATGCTCAAATCTGATACATAAAGACAGTCCCTGAAAAACAGAGAATCCAGTGCTGCTCCCTTTACCTTTGCCAAGCACTTTGACTAATTATTCAGTATTATCATCCGATCTCAGTTTCCTCTTGTAGTGCTTGGCATTAGATATTTCTGTGCTTGCATTTGAATGCACTAGTTTGAAGCTCAGTTTTCTGCATAAAAAAAAATCACCAATCATAGTTTTGTAGCTGATTTCTAACCAGGAGTTTTTGTGAAGCTTTGACCTGCAAAAGGATTTCTCTTAAAGTACTATAATGAATTATACAGTTGTATTTGTGTCAGCAAATAATTATTGTAACAGTATTCACTCGTTGTATATACTATTTATTAGCTAGTTTAGATAGTGACTTGTAAGTTAAACTTGACATAACTTTTTGTGTTAAATTGCAAACCAACAAATGACCATATTTAGGCGCTTCAAAGCAGAAGGTTTAGCTTGTGTCAACATAATATGTCATAATACAGTCATAATGTTTTAGGATGTTATTAAAAACATTTACAGAGTCTGTATGACTCCATGTCCAGTGTTTCCCTGAGCTATTTCAAGTTTGTGTACATAAAAATGACTAAAGTAACATGAAATGGTTTTACAGTCGGCACAGTGAAATGTACTCATCGTTATCCCGGATGTCATCCTCCCACACTTTGTCATATGACATTTCCCAATTGAAACTGCTGCTCTGAGTTGTTTGTACATTCTTTAGCAGTATTGTAATGAAGTGATGTGGACAGGAAGCAGGACCTGCACACACCCAGATGAATCAAATCAATGTCTCCAAACAAGGTCATCATTAAAGTCCCAACAGTTCGTCATCTTAACGATTCACTAAAACTTAATTTGAAATATACCTTTGAAATGAATGTTTATCTGGGTTTTTTTAATTCATCTTCCATAAAAGGTCACAACTAATAGTTTGAAAAAGTTCAGAGTTTTCAGAAGGCAAATGAAGAGTATTTTACCTGATCCTCAAGTGCTTCACATGAAAAAAAAGTCTTTATGAAATATACATTTAGATGTTAATGTATTTACAACATGAAGTAAATGACTTTGGGATGTGAATAATATCTTATCTACCATTAAGTTAAAATTAAAATGTCATTGCTGTCATTTTTTGCTTTTGTTTTTGTTTTTTTGTGTGCTTTTGCTGCCACATTGAGAATGTTAATTCAACTAAAGCATTTTAAATTTGAAGCCGTTTTTGTTTTGGAGTGTGGAAAACCTTCAGATGAATTGGTAAAACCTAAAGGTTTAAAATAAAACAAAGCTATTGTAAACATGTACAGTATATATTCTTCCTTGATCATTTTAAAGTAGACTCTATTTTAAATTCCTCTTGATTTAAACCAGATGAGTTTGGAGTCCAGACGTAGACATTTGTGTGTGTTATTTATTTTACCCCAATTTGGAGATGACCAAAGCTTTTTTTTAAAGTGATCTATAATTAGGGGTATAGGAGCGAGGCACATTAAGGACAGGATAATTTGGCACGTGTTGCTTCTTACAATTTAGTAAAAGCAAATGTCGAGCAGCTGAGCTGTGGCGGACCACCACAGACGTCTGATAAATTACCTCTAAATATTGCAGCTTATCCCTCTGTAATGCGACGCTGGTGTGAGATTGCAAACTGACAGTCAGCTGCCATAACTAAGCAGATTTTCTGAGCTGGAGTGATTATGGGCTTTTAACTGTCTGACTGTGTGGCTGTGGTGTTGACACAACTTGTTTACTATGTCCACTTTGAGAGGAACTGTATCCGTTTGTGGTCAGAGTGTTGACTTTTACGCTTTTTAATATGACTTTTGTGCATTAAGCACATAAAAGAATAGAGAGATGGGTGAATAATTGATTAAAAAGTGATATCGTCATACCATTATATGGAGAAATTGCTCAGTTTTATTTCCAGTTACAAAGCATTCGCTTTCTTAATGCCACTGACATTTTTATCCAGTCGAATGGGCCCTTAAAGCCTCTTACACCTCATCACAAACCCTGGTGTAGCAGCTAGAAGGAGCTAAAGTTTCCCAATGCTGACAGTGTCACTATGAACCCCAGTGCTTCTTCTAGCTGTGACTTCTTTTCCTGTTTCTCACTGAGGAATGCAATGCCAGGCTTGTGTATGCCCGCCCGTATTCTAGCTGCAGCCTAAAAACCTCGCTACTTCCTTTGGTCTCCAAGCAACCAGCACAGCAAAACTCGGGCACGATTTGGAGGAGTGCGCCTTGTTCCCCTACTCTGAGCTCCATTCTGTCAGGACAAAACGCTACTTTCTATAAAGGGAGCTTTGATGCACATACCCTGTAGTGTTTTGTTTTCCAAAGAAAAAAAGTAAATCTTAGTTGCCCGTCAACTTCAGAAAAAAATCGATCTTAAGAAAGATCATATTTTTTGTTTCATCCTGAGATGGAAAAAAAAAAAAAAAACTCACCAGTTTTCTTTTCAATTTCTCTCAAAAGTGTTTTGATCAAGATGATGACATTCACAACTACTAACGTTTGAATTTTGTAGACGCATAAGGGGAATTGGAAGTAGTTTGGATGGGGAATTGAAAGCTTACATACGAGTCATAAAAAACTAAAACTTTATCATGCTCATGGGAAACTACGTCTCTTATCTGCCTCTTTTTCAGACATGCTTTCTTTTCCTCTCTACCAATGAAGGACAGCGTTATTAATAGTTTGCAGCAAGCCTGTGTCTGCGTGAGAGCGTGTATATTTAGCTTTGTGGGGTCTTTATCCCCCAGCCAGACTTCTCGTAGTGTGGGAAGAAGATTGTGCTGAGTGGAATCCTTGCATGAACGACGCATGTAAAACATTTTCTGCTACTGGGTTTTGCAAAAGCAACATAAGTGTCTTTTTTTTTTTCTTCTTCCATGTGTGCAATAGGATCTACAGAGTACATTCATTGTTTGTTTGTTTTTCAGGAGCTGAGGAGCAGGACTTCTCTGGAGACCCAGAAGCTGGATCTAATGGATGAAGTGTCCTACCTGAAGCTGAAGCTGGTCACCATGGAGGAAACACGAACCAACACAAACCCTCAGGATGCTGCAAATGCAAAGAACAACAAAGCTGAGGTAGGGAATGTCAACCAACTTCACTCAAAGATAGCAAAAAGGCCAATTTTATTCTGTGACAATTTGACTTGTGACAATTTGTACATGCTTTACACAAAGAGATGGACTTTTTAAGCACAGTTTATGTAAACAGGTTGTTATGCTTTGTGTTGCACAGTAAATCCTGCTTAAATCCTATCAGCAGATCTTGTCAGCAGACAGACCTTCAACAACATTTAAGCATGTATTGCAGCTCATTCTTTGATATTTTTGTGGGATTTAATGTTTTTTTTTTTTCCCCAGGCTTTATAATTATCAAAAATAATCTGGGTATTGTTTACGCCAAGTTTCTTTGGTTGAAAGAATTTAAGTAAGTTGAGCTAAATTTGGTCTATAAATCCTAGTTTTCCTAAACTTTTTCTAAGGTATTGTATATATTAGTTTATTTCTACCTTCAAATTCATACTTCATTACTAATATTACTAATATTACAGATACATGTAGTGTAGTTTTGCTTTTTGGGACCTTCAGACATGCTTCATGTGTATGTCACCTATTTATTTGACTTCTGAGTCTCCAGAGAAGTCCTGCTAAAAGTTTCTTTAACTGTTTCACTAATAGCTAATGTATGCATCATGTCCAAAATTTATTTTTGGGTTTCCCCATTGAGATCTTTGGGACAAAAACAGAATTTAGAACAGAAAGATTTCAACCAATTTCTGCTCTTTGTTTTTAACTCTCTTTAGATTGTTGTGTGTCTTCCTCAGAGGCATCTACTGAAAGTAAACTAAGCTTCAAGCTGAATACTAGAGGCAGCTGTTGATTAGCTGCATGTAATGTATGCAGGGATATAAGTGGTTTTGATCTCTTCTTTGTGTGACTCACCTGTTGACTGGTGGCAGATGGTGTCAGGAAAGAGAAGTGTGACTTATGAAACGTGTTAATGTTAACAAAAATCAAAATAATATATTAAGAAGCAAAACATTTGGTTATTTATTTAAATTGTTCATTTCCTAGAGTGTCATTTTATACGGTAGTTTTCTAAAATAAAAATAAGAATCGGGTGGACAAATTTGAATTTGTTTTTAACCTGACTGAGTGGTCAAACTATACCATATTCATGAGGATACATTAACTTTAGTATTTGGCTGAAAGTTTTTTTTTTTTTTTTTTTTAGTAAGTTTCATTTTAATGATTGCCATTTTCAGCCAAACAGTAAGCTTCTTGATAATTGACCACACTTTTATATAAAAAATTTGCAAGTTAATTTAAATTGTTTGGATCTCAGACTCAGTTAATTGAAGTAGTCCATAAATTATTGATGAGGTTTCATCAAGTGCCACTCTTTCTCCATCTGATGTGTGTTTGGTTGGAACTCACAGCCTTGTTTAACCAGCTCTTGATCTGAGGTGAAGTCAAAGACTTTCAAAGGTAGGTCTCAGTCATCATTTTACCACTCACTTTGTGCAATACACCAGCAGCGGTAATTAAATCTGGAAGATCCCAAAAGTTCACCATTTGATTCTTTTGGCCAAGTGTAACAGGTTGGAAAAATAACCGGTTTCCCTCTAAAACTATTCATAAAAGCGCACATTCATAAAGTTTTTCCACAGGTCTATGCAAAAAGTAAGTGCAATATTAATGAGAGCGCTCATCAGGTGATGAAAGACCTGCTCTTTTGTCTTGGAACTATTACATATGCAATAAGAACGCAACAAAAACATTCCAACACCACAAAAAAGTCACTGGCACAGCTAATAGTGGAATCCTTGATGAGACGCATATCTAAGCACTGCAACTCTCAAACAAGCCAGAACACATTAGATGGTTTCAACAACAGCCATTAAGTTCAAAGTACAAAAATAGTCTCATTAAAAAAATCTTTTAAAGAAGGAAAGCGTACTTCACCTTAAGGCCTTCAAAATATCACAAGACTGCAATGTGATTAAAATGCTCCCTGCAAGAGGAGTTTAATTCCCTGTGTTATCTGATTTATTTCTAATGGACGAAGCTCAGTTATATAATGTGCAAAGAAAGCTTTGACATCATTCTAAAGTTAGGCTGAAAAATAACCGAGAGCGCCACATGCCATCGCCATTTATGGTTTTATAAGATTCAATACAGTAGGTTGGGAAAATATAAGGGATAATTTAAAACTGCATCGTATTCAAAGAGCCACAGCAGTTGCATTAAAACCTGTTGAGATGATGTAATTCATAGAAAGCGAAAGGTTGCGTGCAGTGTGTCTCTGAATCAGAGTTTCTATTCAGCTTAGCAGCAAGTTTCTGCTCCGCTGAAGGTAGAAACAATCCCATTAAGACCTTCATGGGTCTCAAATAATAACGCTCAAATGCATGTGTTCCAGCCTTATCTGTTGAGATGTCTTTTTTTGTGATAGTTATTTTCTTTGTGTGCAATTTGTGTCTTTTGACACTAAGCTGCTCCCCACTGGCACAGCAGATCCTGAGAATGCTCTTGTGGGGCTTGGCATTAAGAAAGGCTGTGCTTCTCCTGAATAAACTTGATACAGCATTCTAGATGTGCAGAGGCCAGTAATATGTTGATGGAAAGTGATAAGCATCAGATGGGGAGGAGGAAGCAGCAAGTGGGAGGTAACATGATGATTAAAAACAGAAAAAAAAACTCAGAATGGAAAGGATGTGCTGTTAAAACAAACCTGTCCTATAAGACATGCATCGTTACCAGGAAAAATATTTGCAATACAAATCCTGTTGCCTAAAACTGCCATCTGTTTTGTTCTGTAAGTGATCCATGGTGTGATCAGACGCTACAAGAGACATTTATAATGTTAACACAAGTTTCTCTCAGAAAAGAAGATGAAGAGCTGAGCTATTTTCAGTTTCTTTCTCTACGTCATATCTTTATTTCCATCTCCTAGTCAATAGTTCTATTCTGGTAGCTACTTGGAGCTAATTTTCAGACTATATCCTACTGGTTGACAAAAAATAGACTATTTAGTTTTTTTGCTGTTTGAATTACCTAATTATCTTAAGTAACTATGTTAATCTTTAACCTCCTGTTTACAACCATGAATCAACACAAGCGGAAAGTGAGCTAATCCTTTTAACGTAGCATTTCTCAGGCCAGGTTTTGCAGGTCTTCACTGTGGTTTCTGTGTCGTATACGAGAATTTGGGTGGAATTCTGAGTCAACTGTTTGCCTTCGAGTTTGTCAAAGAGAAGTGCAGAGCTGATGAGTGTTTGAGTGAGGTTACCAACCAGACACACATTGTCCCTTCGCCTCTGTTTTGCATGTGTAAGTTACTAAGAATGTACATGGTTGGGATTACTAATTCTCCTTTATTCATTTTTGCTTGTTAGATGGTTCTGATTGGTTGAAGTAGGTTTTGTGTAGAGGCTCCAAGCAGTCAGTAGCTTCCCCACACTAAAACAAAAATATTTTATTTGATCCATTTTGATTCACACCATTAGTACATAAAGGAACTGCCTTAGAGACTTGGACCTCAGCTTTTGTTGCTTTTTTCATAAACTTGCAGTACTTGTAAATGGACAGGTTTGGACACACTGTGATGTGTCCAAACAGTTAAGACAACAAAGTAGACGAACTGCTGCTGGGTGTAAGATACTGACAGCTGGGACCAACTCCACAAAGCACCACTCTGAAGAATGTATCCTTTTAAATATTTTGCTTATTGAACTGTGTGGCGAAAGGTCCCAAGACGCTCATAGCCAATGACTCTTCTACAAAGCTGTGGTCTTTAGCTTTTGTTGGAGAGATGGGAGCTGGAGTAGTAAAAGTGATGATGCGTGTTTGTGCGTGCGCTTTGTAACAGCTGCAAGGCTCCAGTGAGCTGTCAGGAGGAATGACAGGCATCCATTCTGAGCATTCCTGGGGGTAAAACACTTTCACCTCAGGAAACTACACCAGTACGACAGGAAAAAAAAAACAAAAAAACCTTACAGCCAACCGACGATCGCCTGGGAATGACGCGTTTAGTTTGATGGTGCATTTTTCAGGTTATGCAACAGGTTCTAAAAGATTTCACATGCCTGTGAGATGAGGCTGTTTTTCTGGGAAAGCATTTATCAAGTTATTTTGTATAAAACAAGGGATATGTGTGTTTTTTTTGTTTCCCTCACTGCTTTTGTTTTTATCGCTCTCTGTTTCTATCTTCTCATCTAGTCTTGCTCGTTCTTGTGGATCTAAACTTTGGAAGATATGGGGGACAAAAAAAGACCCATCTTGGAGATGACTATTGTTCTGCTTCGACTAAAAATAGCTGGAAATTGATTCATTTATATAACTTAGATTTTGCTTCCACACAACCAGACTTGCTTGTAATATTTTAAAGTGGTTTTCAGAAATAGACAGGATTTCTCAAGGTTTTTCCAGTGTTTTTCTTTGTTGTTTAGCTGCTTTTTCCCTCTTTTTTTTTTAGTCCAATTATGATTTCCAGAAAAATATTTTTATTTTTGTTTTGTAATTTTCTTACCTTTGACTTTTAAGTTGGAAAAATTGTCCTTAAGTCAAAGGATTAATGGGTTTTAGAACCTTTCTGGCTTACAAGCTTAACTCTAATATGATAAATGTACCCTTAATTTCCACCACTCTTGCACACTGTGGTACACTTTATTTAATTTAGCGCAACCTTTAATCCCTGAAAATATTCATTTCTAATTTTCCCTACAAAAAGTGATGTATCAAATCACAAAGAAAAATCCTACCACTGGGTTAAATAACTGTTAAAAATAATAATTAAAAAAAAAACAAACATGGAAATTGATTTTCCTCTCATATAGTTAAAAAACCCAGTTATATTTACTTATTGTTAAGTTACATTTAAAAAAAAATCAACTTGGCTAGTTTTTTTGTTTGTTTTTTTAATAAATTAGTTTTGTGTCCAACTAAACCAATAACCAATTTTCATCTTGGTATTTTTGCACTTTACAAGCAGCATGTTACAAATGCATTGAATTTATTGAATAAAAAAAAAATCAATCAAAGTATACTGAGACAGAAATCTGTGTTTTTGCATGCACAAGGTCATTCCCACCTTACAGCTTAACGCTTTGCATACAGTGGATGATCAGCAGAGGAAAAATGCATCGTTAAGTCAGGTCATTGCTTTTTTAAATTTATTTATTAGTTTGTTTGCTCTACCGTCACTTGATCCTTTAGAGAAGGAAAATGAAGAAGGTCATAACTTTTGCACAGTAGGACTGTGAATTAGCGTAGCACAGCCCACTTAACAGTGAATTATCAACTCGCTAAGTGTGTCCATCTCCCATTTAAACCATGTTTCTTATCTCGACTCTCCAAACTTACCTGGACCCTCTGCTTCTACCACTGACCCCAGAATAACCTATCGGCAAGCTCATCCCCTCCTTTCCTGTCAGTCGTCACATGGCACCTGTGGGGAAGTGGAACACAAAGCCTGGCGCGTGTTCAGTTTACATATTTGAACATGTATCTGTGTGCCACACTATTTCAGCAATGTGAGATGGTGAGAAAAGATGCCTAGCCTCAGTCTGAGCCAAGGCTGACTTATTCATTGTTACAACCACAATTTGGACTTTTTCTTTTCCCCTCGGTCAAATAGATGTTTTGTGTGGCTTTTTTCTGTTTATTATGCTTGCTGTTCTTTAAAATTGCATTTCAATCCACAGCCAGGGGACTTCAAGACATTAGAAGAACTATTTCCATCTGCAGACTAAATTAAGAAACAAGTCATCCAATGATCATCTTCTCTCTTTTTTTTTCTTCCTATCGTTGCATCTAACTTCAGTGTATTTCTCTTTCCCTCTCCTTACATCTCTCCGTTTGACATCGTCTGCCTCTTCTCATTTATCCTCCATCCCTGCCAGTGTGTGGTAAATCTCATCAGTGAGCTCCAGGAGCAGATGTGCAAGTTTCAGGAGGAGATCAGCACTCGCATCCAGGAGAAACGGGCCCTTGAGGAGAAGGAAGCCCAACAGGGGGACCCAAGTGGCAACCCAGTTCAGAGCGCCGATCCTAATGCTGGGTCAAACCCGAGCTCTGCTTCGCTGAAACACAGTGGAGAAAGACAGACTGTGCATGTATGGAAACTGATGATGGAAGAACTCCTCTTACAATACTTCCACCATTTTTCCTTCTCTTCTCCTCTCCCCTCTTAACTAGTCTGCAAAACTCTGCTGGTATTTGGACATTTCCACAGAATCAAACTAACAACCTCTCTTGTTGTGTGTGTGTGTGTGGAGTGGAGCATCTGTATGTGGCCCTCAGGATGTTGGGGTGTCGCTCTGCTGTGGTTTTGGCAGAAATCAAAACTTTCGGTTAGTTTTCCAAATGCTTCATCATTCATTCATCTGAGGAGCTACAGTCCAATAAGTGCTTCAAAAATTGAGGCATGTGTAGTGCCTACCACCACAAATGGCAGTGGATGGCACTGTTCAAGATGTGTAAAATAAATCTATGTTGCTGTGGGCCTGGTTCTCTTCTGAAGGCCCTGGGAATATTGTTAGAGTCTTGCATCTTGATTTTTTATTTTTTTTTCCATAATTGTCTAATTTTTTAGTCATGTAATGATAATTACGGCTTTAGGTCAGTTTCATTTTTTGAACTGAATAAATCTTTAAATGTCCACATTATTTGATGAGAGAATATGTTTTCTACAATAAGATTCATTCATTTTATCCCATTTTACACATTTTGACCGTCGCTGCCAATAAGCGTACAGGTTGCTGCAACTCTGACGGTAGAGCCTCAGCAATCTCCTTCTGCTTTTGCTCCTTAAATAACTGAAACATTTGGAAGACATTTTCACCTAAAACGAGTTTTTCTTTCATAAATCTCTTCAAGATTTTGGGTCAGTGTTATGTTTTTGTTGGATCGGATGTGGTTTGTTTGTTTGCATGATGATTATTGCTCTGGTTACTAACAAAGTTTATGTCTGCTTCCTCCTACTCTGACCAGGTGGATGGGTCATGCAATGATAATTATGGCTTTACAAAGTTTCCCTCATACAGTGATAATGGTCAGCGGGCAGATGTGCAACCTGGACGCCTTCCGGTCATGTTTTTTTTTGGGGGGGGTTTATTCTTTCCCTGGCTGCTGATAACTGCACGTTGTGGTGTCTGTTTTCAGGAGGATCATGTTTCCCCATATTAACCAGAGCACTGTACAGCCCTGGAAACCTTTTTATAACTGCACATAAGGCTGATGACTCCAGTCCCATTCATGTTAGCATGCATACAGCCCATTCTGAAACCTTGCGGGAAAAAAAACCCTCCAAAAAAACTTGGACAAATTGATAAATCTATCGTTTAACCTTCTAAAAGTACTAATGTGTTTGGTTTGTTTGCAGGATTTGCTTCATGAAGTCAAGCAGCTGACGAGCAAAGTGCAGGAGCTGGAGGGAGAAAAGAGCCAGTACGAGAGGAAACTCAGGGCCACCAAGGTACACAGAGTTGATTCGCTCTGCTCACACGTGGATGCACATGTCACATGTGGTTTGTTTTACCACAGAAATGTGCAGAAGAAACAGATGTTCTCTTTGTGTTAGTGCCAGTATGATTCAGAAGGGAAATCAGCTGTGGGGCTTATATTGTTTCATTATATCAGATCTTTATCATTTATCGCAAAGGAGGCTAATATAGGTTGAAGTAAACTGCAGGAGTAGTTGAAGGAGATGGGACGTTTTCCCGAAAACACAAACAACAGAGACTAGAAGTTTCTTGTCTTCACTAATAAACTTTCAAAACCCGGGTTTTGTTAGAATATAAGCACATGTGGTAGAGTGTGCTTTTATATTTATTATTATGTATATTCATCATATATTTATACTTTTCCTTTAATGTTTAATTAGATCTGAAGATTAAGTATTTTTTTAAACCAGGGCAGTTTTTAAAATATCGATAGTAAACAGTTAAACACGTTTTTTTAAGGAAATGTTTGGACTATAGCTAACCAGAAAAACCTTTACAGCAAACAAGGTACAATCAATGTTTTGCATGCTTGACCATTAATGCCAACTCGTAACCATTTCTTATATGGCCATTAAAAAACGTAGTTGAGTACAATTAATCTGAAATTATTCTAAAACATGCTACCACATAAGTTTTAGATGAATTTATGCACATTTAGTCAATTGATTATATATTCTGGTTCAGAAGAAATAGCCTGGTTTTGCAGACTAGCAATGTCTCCTTACATGATTTGCAGGTTTATGCAATTTTATTCACCTTTATATACTATAAGACATGAAGCGGTGGAATGATGTCACATGCTAAATTAACGAGGCTTGATGAAGTTTGAGAATAACTCCATTTTTGAAGCACATCTGATTCAAATAAAGCCAGATTGTCACATCAAGTTGTGGCTCAATATGCGGGATGTGCAGATATTAAAGCTGCTTAAAATTGGAATTAATTAATCCCGATCTATTTATCCAACCAAATCCATCTTCCACATTTAAAGTCTGGGAGTTTTGTAAAAACAACAAATTGATTTATGAAAATGGCTTGAAATGTACGAAGAGCTCTGAAGATTTGTGTCTGGAAATTCTGTAACTTTTAAGGTGAAAATGTGAAACTTAGAATCAACCGCCCGGCCACCTTCCAATGCAAAATGAACCTTAATAAAACTGCTAATTATTTGTAATATTTCACCCTAACTCGCTGTATGCACTGACTATTTGATGCTTAATAAATACCTGTAAGAAGGTCGATTCACTTGTGCCGCTGTAGCTGCGTCAGCTTGCAATTAAATTATTTGCAAGTTCATTGCTGGTCTACATTTGTTTCAAATTGGAACGTTCCTATTTTTGAATCTATTCCATATTTTTTAAAACTATTTCACCGCTTCAGATAAGTTGTGGATGTTTTTTTTCCTGCTGAGCAGCAAAGTTAAAAACGACAACAAAAATCTCTAACACGTTGCTTCCTCCTGATTAATCTGAAGGTCAAACTGCTGTTGCTTTTCTGTGCTCACAGTGCTCCTTTCCTCCTCTCCTTCCCCTTCTTTCACTCTCTGTCCTCTCTTCTCCTCCTCAATTAACTCCTCTCTGTGGCTTGCTCTCTTCACTTTTCCCCCCTCCCTCACTCGTGATTACTCTCTTCCTACCATCCCCTCTCCAGCTCTCCATCTCTTACTCTCTCCATGTGTGTTACCAGTCGCTCATGACCCAGCTGTCCAGCCTCAAGCTGACTGTGGAGCACACACAGCTGGAGAAGCAGCACTGGGAGGAGCGCTGGCGCAGCGCACAGGTGCCTCCTCTTCCTTCTGCTCTTCGCTCCCATCACTTTTATGAGTTTTCTTCTTTTTTTTTTTATCTCAATTTGCCGCCTGCCTCTTCTTTTTGAGGTCTCCTCCAACAGTGCGGTCTCTCTTTGCTCTCAGTGTTCCTATTTTAGGTTTACAGCCTCTCTTTTCTCTGATGAACTCAGTTGTTCCCCTGCCTTGTGGTAACTTAATGTTGGTCAATACTCTTATGTATTTACTTTTAGTTTTATTAAAGTTGAAGTTAGCATGTCTATGTGCTATTATGTCCAGAAACAGACTCCTTAAGATCAATTTTCCTGCCCTCACTTTTTTATATGCAAGTTTGCATGGATCACATCCGTATAATGCTGCTGTGAACGCATCAGCTGTGTCGGCCTGGAGGTTTTATTTCTGCTACGTCTGGTAAAGAAGCAGCATTGAATCCAAATGACTTTCATTGAATTTCATTTTCTGGTAGAATCATTTTACTTGTTTTCAAACTATATTTTATTCACCTCTCTATACACCAAAATAAAAGTGAAACATCATGAGCTATGAGCTATGAGTTGTGGAGCCTGTGGGCCCTTTGAATTATTCTGTGGTTTTAGCCGCTTCCTCCTTCATTTTAGACTTCTGCCGTATTATCAATGCTTCTTTTGAAAAGCAGATTTAAGAGGCATTAAGTTACATTCATAGCATGCCGGAATAACCACAAACGTCTGTGCATCAACCTGTTTTTTTGACTCCTGTTTTTCGCAGCTCAACAATGAGCGCTTCCTGTTAAACTGTTTAACATCGCTGATCAACTAGCTCAGGAATGCCCTTGTTTTATGTAAATAATATCTAGATTCTCATTTTTGTTTAGCTCCAAAGATGCAAGAAATTGTTAATTTTGTTGTGAAATTATTTATTTAGCTGGTAGACTTTCCACTGGGGTCGTCTCCCAGTGGAAGCAATTAGTATACAAGTCATTGCTTTTGGTCCCACTTCCAAACTATTTCAGGGCACGTACAGTAGGTTTTCAAAGAAGTGGCCAGACGGGGCCCTCAGATAACCCTCAGCTGGGGCTCTAGTACTGCTACATTTCGATTTTGTGAGTTATTGTACCACTGTCGTATGCAGTTTTATTTTGTCATGTTACCACAACAAACTTCAATATATTTTATTAGGATTTGGTGTGACAGACTAACTCAAGCATGACATAATTGTTAAGTTGAAAACGAAATAAAACATAGGTGGAAAATGGAAGTTTGATGAGACAAAAACTGAATTCTTCCGTCAATCCCCGAAGGAAAAAAAAATCCTATTGTGTGCAAAAGATTTGCGATTCAGGTGGATGTTCACCTTTTAGCCTAATTGTGAAGTCGGCGCTAGAACTGAACGGTTTAGATGAAAAAACCTTTATTTGAATGGCTGAGTCACTGTATCTTGAGAATCGGTGGCTAGACCTAAAAATATATTGTTCACACATTCTCTCCATTTAAAATCACCATGAAAATCAGACGTCCTGGCCCCAGAGTTTTCAGGGAGGGAGCACCGGCACCCATTGGCCATACTACTGACTATTAGAGGTGACATTTGTCAGATGGTTATTAATGTTACAAATTTCATTGCCACAGAAGGATTCTTCCATTTTTTTAAAAACTCTGTTTGAAAATAAAGTTTACAGGAAGCTGAACAGTAAAATACCTCACCTGGCTTTAGCGAAAATTTATGGGAGACTTCCTTGGCTCACTGAGGTATCTGCTACTGGTTAGCCAAGACTACAGCTACACTGGTCACCTCAAACCCATTTTGATATTTAGTGACCCAGAACTCCAAGCCAGCTCACAGTTATCTACTTTGCTTCTGTTCACAGGCAGAAATCTCAGAGCTGCAGCAGCTTTTGGTCTCTAAAGACACGGAGATCGAATGCTTGCAGACCCAGCTGCTGGCCAGAGGCGGCACCGCCAACAACAACGCAGAGAGAGGTATGCACGGCTGACAACCTGACTCATCCTCACAGGCTCGCATCAGTCAGCGCTGATGTGAGAGGCAGCCAGCGAAATGCAAGACTGTCAGTTCTGATTACTCTTAACACATAACCAACTGTCCCTTTCTCCTCTGACAAGTACTTTACCTGTTCTTGACTCTCTGCTGCCCTCTGCTGTAGAGGAGGTGTATATCAAGCAGCTGATTAGCAAATGTAAGGCATGGTGAGCTTGATGTTCTCGTGGATCTGGTTTCCAACCAAACGTTCTGCAATTAAGGTTTACATTTCAGCAAATTAGAAAAAAAAACAAACAATGGAAGTAATTGATAATTTATTGATCTGGCCTCTGGAGACCTGTTTGATTTGAGACCGGACCAGAAAAGATTGTGTGTCAAAACATTTAAAAAGCACAAAAACTTCCTGCATCCTTTTAAATCAGCACACTGTAAAAAGTAATGTCTGCTAGTTGAAAATATAAGGTTCAATTTAATCTAGGAAGTTGGTAAAAATAAAAACACAGAAGTGCAGAATTTCCACTGTTTGACTGTGTTAAGTTTAATATCTAGCTAATTAAATAAGAGGAAATCATTGTCTTACGGTCATCATCTTATTAATAAAAAAACTAGTTTAAAATCAGATATATTCCACAGCACTTCTTCTCAGACACAAAACTCAAGAGAGTCAACACAGTCATTTAAATACTTCTGACACTTTTCCTCTACCTACTAATATCAGGATTTTTTGAACAAAAAATTTACTGAAATTTTAACAGCAGGGTTTGAGAAAGTTTAAAAAAATATAAATAAATT